TTGTACACCAACTTTAGTTAATTGTTGTGGCAGTAGCAAATGATGATGTTGAAGAATTATTTGAATAACTAGCTTTGGTGATTATTGTGGTTTGTGGTTCTTGTAAGAGAAAAAATATGATACGAGAGATGCAAAAAGAAAGAGTTGAAGCCAAAATTGGCATTGGTGAAACTGAAATAGGAAGAGGGTTGAAAGAAGAGATTTCTCTTGCCCGAGTTGGAGATACTAGATAGGGTTCACATTATATAACAATTGTACGTTTGATGAATTTGTTTGTAGAAGTTGTTGATGTACTTATATATGTCAAAGAGGAAGCGACTTCATTAGTAAAAGGGAAAAAAAGCATTGCTAGTTTTGAGAAAAGATAGGTTTCCACAAATTATTATGAAGGTATGTGGTTGAAAGAAGAGATTTCTCTTGCCCGAGTTGGAATATTATGTTACCCCATGCAATATGATCAATATGACTAATCAACATCATTTTGAAGTTATGATTTTTAACACGGTTTTGGATATGCAGATTCAAGAATTTGGGGATCGATTAGTGAAGTTGGCACAAAATTGATAAAGAACATGGAGACTTTGAGTAATTGTGAATCATTTTCTAGGTTTGATAAATCAAAGTTATTGAAGTTAAGCGAGATATACAAAAATGATTTTGATGATTCAAAAAGGGTGCATCTTAATGCGTAACTTGATATCTATCACCAATCTTTGCTCCCTGATGAGAAATTTGTTAACTTGAAGGGAATTGTGGACCTCTCTCGTTTGTTGGTGGAAACAGGGAAACACCTCTTTTTCATTTGGTTTATAGATTAGTAAAAATAACTTTGGTTTTTCTCGTCACAATTGCAACCATTGAATGATATATATCTGTAATGAAGTTGTTGAAGACCAATTTGTGTAATAGAACATGTAACAATTTTATGAATGATGCTTTGATTTGCAGTGTAGAAAAGGAAGCATTTGAGAATGTTAAGACTTAAAATGTAATTACTTGTTGTCGGAAAATGAAAGAGCGAAGACATGAACTTTAAAATGTAATATATATTCTATACTCTATTTTGTCACTTTGTTATGCCTAATGAAATTGCACTTTTTTTCTTATTGTGTATTACACGTTTTTTAGTGCAACCTCATTATTTTACCTTGGCTCCGCCATTAATTACTATTGAAGAAGAGGCGACTCAAACAGTTTTGGGGCTATAAGCGAACCAAATATATGGGGCCCTTTGGCCTTTACAATACTTTACATTACAAACCTTCCACCTTTATCCGAACTTGGGACCAACAATAATAAACTAAAAAGTTTATATATGGTAGAGTTAATTTTTATTATTATTATGTATATGTTTTTTTAATCACCAAAATAATTACAAATGAACAAATAGAATATTGGAAGTAATGGGTTAATGAAAATACCTACTACTTGACATCCTTGACTCGCTGACTGCTTCCTTGAAAATATTTGGAAATTAAAAGCCATACAAAAGTATTGAAGACTTGATAATTAAAATTTTGTATTATGTAATCAATTGATAATTGCAAATATTTAAACTTAATTTGGCAACCCTAATAAATAATGGAAAATTGGAAAAGACGTGAAACACAAACCGTTTCGCGTTGAGGATTTGAAGAATTGAGAATCAAGATAGAAGAATAGAAGATAAATGTGGAGTTTCGGTTTTCAAGATCGTATTGATGTGCCACATGCGTTTCAAATTCAAGGATCATGACCGCTCACTGTAATGTGGCCTATCGGACAATAAGTAATGGACTAATAGAGATTTAAGATATATTAATATGGGTTAAGTTCAGAGAATTTAGGGTGTAACATCATGTTTCTTGTCATTTCCTATTTCAGGGTCATAGGCTGAAAGTTGATTGTGTAAAGGCTTTGGGCCTTAATGAGTTAAAGTTTAGACCTTTTGGGAAGTGATAATGATGGTTGTACGATCTAACCCTTGATTTTTGTATTAGGCCGAATGGTAAAAAGGGAAAAGTAATAGTATGGGTTTCTTGCACGAATAACAAATTTTAGTTCGAGAAGTTTTTAGTCGAATATATCTATATAATATTGTGGGGCTCTTTAATACCTTTCCGTGCATATAAAGGACGCCAAAACGGGAGTTGAAACGAAGAAATTGTGGTAGTTTGAAATTGTGTTGAATTTGGAAGGAGGGTGGTACGTTGGGCATACAAACATCTCTACGTCGTGCCTTTAAGAACGTACGCGACCATAACCTAATCCCTAAATATGGGATTTTGAGCCCTATTTAAACTCCTTAACTCCTCTAAACCTCTTCCATTCCCAACCTCCATATCTCCAACACCCTCCCTTGAAACCCTAACCCTAGTTTGAGCCTTGTGAGCTAAAGAGTGTGCTTTCTGGTGCCTTTGAAGGAAGAAGAAGGTGGTGGTAGTGCTTGGAAGCTTGAAGCAACTTTAGATATGGAAGTTCTCATCCCTCATTCATCTCTAGAAGGTATAAAGTTTGTACCTTTATGCCTCCATTATATCAAGATTAGGTGGTAAATTTATGTCCTTTTTGTACCATAAATTGGTCCATTTGAGTATGGATTCTTCCCGATCTTGTGAGGTGCATTTCCAGGTATATTTGAGGGTGTTAAGTCATAAAAATGCAATCTTAACCTTTTCCTTTCATTTATGCATGTGTTATGAAGTTTAGAATCTTATGATAAGTTAGGGTTTTGGATTTGGACTCTTCATAGCCATGCAAAATCATAAATTTGGAAACTTTATGATCTAGGATGTTAATTTAAATCTAGATCTAAGCTCTGGACGAAGGTCTTAAGGGATAAAGTGCTTAACTGGAAAGTTGGAATCAACTAGCATACATTGGGCATACTTGGGAATATGCTTGGTGTACTAGGCTTGAATCGCGTACGCGTGATGTAGGTTGGAGTACGTAGGGCGTACTCATCCTGCCTTGGACTTTGACTTTTATTGACTTCCGTTAACCATTGACTTTTTACCAAATTTGACCTTGGGTCAAACTTGAGGGTTTTGACTATTGATTAAGATTTTACTTGGTTTTGGTGATCAGTGGATTCGCAAAAGCAAGCAGTACAGAAAGGGAAGTGTGTCTCAGTATTTTGGAGTTCTTCATCTGAGGTGAGTTTCTCCTTACTGTACCTACGAGTCGAAGTCACCAATGTCGGCCCACTAGTTTTGGTTATCATTTATTAGAAGGATGACCTAGGGACTGTATGTAGTCATGTAGGATAGACTGAGGACTATTGATCTAGGCTTTCCTGCCTGATCCTTGTTTGGTTGTGGCTATATAATAGGATCATATATCTGGGTGTCTATATCATCTTTGGTTACATATGGTTACGCATTCCTTGCTGAGTTAGTCACGTATCCTTGTGTATAAGATACTGTTATGTTGTGGGGATCTGCTATATATATATATATACATATATATATACACACACACACACACACATACACACACATGCGTGATAAGATGCAATAATAGTGGTATACTGGTTAGGGGCGGGTTATCGCTTAGTGGAGTGTCCTAGGGATTGTACGTAGTCATGTAGGATTGCATGAGAACTCCTGATATAGGCTTTCTTTCATGTTCCTTTTTTGGTCGTGGCTCTAGAGTAGGATCATCTGTTCGGGTAACTATATCACCTCTAGTTACTTATGGTTATGCATTCCATGATGGTTAGCTGGTAGCGGAGCAGTGTAACATGAGAGATCTAGTAGGCGATAACGAACTATATGATTGATATTTGCATGTATTATGTGCCTACTTGATCATTATTTGTTTATATGTCGACATATGGTAGTGACTGAGGTTGAGGAGGTCCTATTGTGTGATGTAGGCCAAGATACCTAGTGCGGGCCGGTTGCAAGCCGTAGGCATAGAGAGTTGACTGGGTATTCCAATCCGGTCACTGATTGGACACATTGCATGTTGGCATTCCATTCCGATGGCTGACTGGGCCAAGATATTGCAATCCGATGATTGTGGCCCCGTTATGCATCCTAGTATGTTTGTTGTATGTGGTATTTTGGGGGGAAAACTCACTAAGTCTTGTGCTTACCCAATTGTTTATGTTTCAGGTTCTATCGGTGATCGTGGGAAGGTGAATGCGATATTGTACACTTATCAACAACATTAAGGATTCCGCGTTTCTTATATTACTCTGGTTTTCGAAAATGTATTTGAAAATAAATAGTTTTTCTTAAAAATGGATTTATAATTAAGAAGTTTTACCTTATTTAAAATGAAAATTTTTGGTTGTGAAAATAGAACGTTACATGGGGTAAAAATTGGAGGCCCTAAGCCATAACTCAACAAAATATAAGGTTGAGTTGCCACTGCGTTGAAGATTTATATAATATCAACGTTGATTTTATATTTTCTTTTATTGAGATGTTACATATTTTATCACTGAATACCCATAGTTGTTAAAATCGCGATCCTGATCGTAGGATCGTACGATCCTACGATCCTATGTATGAAAAACGATCCGAATCGTAAAAGGATCGTATTTGGGGTAGGATCGTAAGATCGTAGGTAGGATCGAGATCCGATCCGATCCTACCTTCCTTTGATTTTTTTTTTTTTTTTTTTTTTTTTTTTTTTTTTGCAAATGAATTTTTTTTACCACTTTATGTCTTTTATCCTTTACCAATCTACCATTTATCATTTTTTATTGTGACTTATGATTAATATTTTGAAGTTTTTATAACTTTTGAACGAAAAACTAAATGTTTGAAATAGTTTTCATGATTAAATATTATAAATTAAAATTATATTCTATTTTGTGGGATCTTAGGATCTCGATCCTGATTTTGCAAACCCAAAATCGATCCTAGGTAGGATCCCGATCTTAACAACCTTGTGAATACCTACAAAACAATTAAAATGAACAATAATTTGCACACAACACTTTTTAGATATACACAACAATTTATGTTTTAGGTGATTGTATTGTACAATCGTCTAAAATATAAACTATTATGTATAGCTAAAAAATATTGTGTGCAAATCACTATCCATTTAAAATAGTCAAAAGTTTAGGTTTAAACCGTAAATAAGATCTTCGATGTAATAAATCCCAAAAAAAAATTAATATTAGAGCAAAAATTAGGTACAATGACATGCTTAAATTTCATTAGAATTAGTGGGACAATTGTTGAAAGAATGAAAGTTGAGTGCCGAAATTACGAGTTTGTTATTTTATAACGTAACTCTCCATTTAAATAGGGTACTATATTTAAAACGCGCTCTCCTTCTCTCACTACGATACTCCTTCCGTGTTCTTATCTGTTGAATTAAAAGTAAAAAAAGAACGGGACCTTTGCCCCTTCCCCCAACTTAAAGCTGACCCAAAAATTTACCCTTATCATCGTCGTCCTCTTCTTCTTCTTTCTTCTTCTTGTTCTTCAACCTTTTATGAATCTGTAAAATTGTCCCTAGACTTTACACCCTTTCCTTCTCTCCATTAAAAGAAAATGCCTGATAAAGTCCCAATCTTAATTATTTGATACTTTCCTTCAGTTTTATTATTCTTTTTCCACACACACGGTTTCCTCCTCCTTGCTTGAATGGTGGGGTTTGGGTTTTATAGCGTCTGATTCTCGTCGTGACCTTTTCAATTTCCGTCTTTAGATTCCCAAAACCCTTGAAGATTTCCCTATTTCTGGTGATTTTTTAAATATTTTTCAAACCCCACCTCCCCACATGTTTTGGGGTTTGTCTGATCTGGATTGGATCGCAAGGGTCTGTTAGTATTATATTTGTATTGGTGGTGGGAGTTCAGTAGCCAAGTCCTTTTTCTCATCAATCTCCGTCTGCCGCCTACTCAAACGACCCAGGATAAATTATAAGAAAGGTCAGATTTTTTCATTCGTGAAACCCTTGTAATTTACATTTATTCCATTGTAACAACTTGATGCAAATACAGCTGTCTTTTTGTTCAATTTAGTTGATTTCAGTGAATGTTAACGATGGCTGCCAGACTGAAGCTGTAATCCGTATCGCTGAGATTCGAAGGAAACCCTATAGTTTCCGCCTTCCGTTTTTTTCTTTATTCGGATGTTTCATTAGGGTTTCATTGGGTTCAAAATTTTAACGATGGCAGCCATCGACGTTACGAAATATTCCCATAGCCCGACACACAAAGCCGTAGTAACAAAAGATTACGGTGGTCTGAGAAAAATCATCGCCGGACTTCCACGCCTCTGTGACCCATCAGAGATCCACAACGAATCAATCTCTTTAACCGAGGAAGCCAAAGCCGATACAATCTCCTCCGTAATCGACCGACGCGACGTCCCTAATCGCGACACCCCACTTCACCTAGCAGTCAAACTTGGTGACGTCACCTCCACAGAAATGCTCATGCTTGCCGGAGCAGATTGGAGCTTACAAAACGAACATGGCTGGAGTGCTCTACAAGAAGCTATATGCAACAGAGAAGAAGTAATCGCTAGAATCATAGTCAGACATTATCAACCAATCGCCTGGGCTAAATGGTGTCGCAGATTACCTCGTTTAGTAGGAACAATGAGACGAATGCGTGATTTCTACATGGAAATCACTTTCCAATTCGAAAGCTCAGTCATCCCGTTCATTTCCCGAATTGCCCCTTCCGATACCTACAAAATCTGGAAACGCGGCGCAAATCTAAGGGCAGATATGACATTAGCCGGTTTCGACGGATTCCGTATTCAACGCGCGGATCAAACCGTTTTATTCTTAGGAGACGGTTCCGAAGACGGAAAAGTCCCGCCCGGGTCCCTCTGTATGATCTCACACAAAAACAAAGAAGTGATGAACGCGTTAGATGGCGCAGGTGCACCGGCTTCTGACGCGGAGGTGCAACAGGAAGTCCAAGCCATGTCTCAGACAAATATATTCCGCCCGGGGATTGATGTGACACAAGCGGTTCTTTTACCTCAGATGACGTGGCGCAGACAGGAGAAAACAGAATCGGTTGGGAGTTGGAAATGTAAAGTGTATGATATGCATAATGTGGTTGTGAGTATAAAGTCTAGGCGGGTCCCGGGTGCCATGTCAGACGATGAGTTTTTTTCATCGTGTAATGAAAACGAAACGGAAAGCGAGGAACTTAACGAGATTTTAACAGACGAAGAGCGGAAGCAACTCGAGGCGGCACTAAAGTTTGATTCTTCCGAATTTGGCCACGAAAATAACGAAAACGTGATCGGGCATCGACATAGTTGTTTTGAACAACGCGATATTCCAATTGAAGATGTACCGAGTTACAAAAGTGGTGAGATTAAAATTGAGAAAGATAAAAAAGGGTGGTTCGATGGGTGGAGGAAAGGCGGGAATAAAGTTGACCGGGGTGGTCGAAAGGGTGCACCGGGGGTGGCACCGCCGCGTGGGTCGTTATGTTTAGAGGAAAAGGTTAGTGATCTTCTCGGTGACTCACCCCCTAGTCAAAGTCAAAGTCAAGGTCAAGGTCAAATTCAACCGGGGAGGCATTCGATGGAGGTGACTGTGAAAGAAAATGAAAGTAGGAAAGTGAAGGAATTGAAGGCGTCTTCTTCAAATGGGTCAACAAGTGGGAATAGAAGGAAAGATGGAAGTCGTGAGAATGAGTATAAAAAAGGGTTAAGGCCGATTCTTTGGCTTGCTCCTAATTTTCCTTTGAGAACTGAGGAGCTTTTGCCTTTGCTTGATATATTAGCGAATAAAGTTAAGGCGATAAGGAGATTGAGAGATTTGCTTACTACAAAGCTTCCAATGGGGACTTTTCCTGTTAAGGTACTTTTTAAATTTTTCATTATTTATTTTTTTATTAAATTTGTTAGACTTGTGATTGGCGTTTGGATGTGGTTGTCTGAAGGGTAATGAATGGGTTTTTAGTATCAGTTTCATAGTAGCTGCAACCCTGCACGTGCAACAAAACGAATTGTTAAAAGGATAGAGACTAAAATTACTTCTTATGTTATCTATGGGTTAATTTCTTATTTATGCAATGAAGTTTTACGTTTTTTTTTCCCCATATTATGCAATAATGTTCATTGTTATACAAAATATGCATCGGCATTTCGTACTCTGAGCAATTTTTATAACCTTTTTGCTTGTAATTGGTTAATCGGTTATATGTAAGAAGTGGCCATATTGTATGAAATAAACATTGTTTATAAACATAATGCGTGGTGATACTAGAAATAAGATTTATTGAAATGTTAGATGGACATCTTCATGTTATAAAGGATTTGTATTTTTCATTTATAGTTGTTATTGTGGTTGAATCTGATTCATGATGGACTTTAAAGGAATGGAATGGTTCATTCCATTGGAATTCATAATAAACCTGTTTGTGTGTGTACTCTTTTCCAATTCCATCATGGAATGAATTGAAAAATTGCAAAGTTTTATAACACAAATCTTGTGTAAAAGTTTTGCTATTTTAAATTCACAGATTTACAAAAGTTTTTATATACTGATATTATTTTCTGGGTGATAATAATAATGTGATGTTTTCAGGTAGCAATTCCAGTGATCCCGACCATAAGGGTTTTAGTTACTTTCACAAAATTTGAAGAGCTACAACCGTTGGATGAATTCACAACCCCACCTACAAGTCCGACAAGTGGCGATCGTGACAGCCCATCGATGGCCAATCAATCCTCCACGTCATCATCATCATGGTTCCAGTGGATCAAAACTCCATACCACCGTGCCAGCTCATCATCTGGTGCTTCAAGCAGTAGAATCGAAACTACTCAAGACCCTTTTGCTATTCCTGCTGACTACACATGGATCAGTGCAGAAGCCAAGAAGAAGAAAATGCAGGAGAAGAACAAATCAAAGAAAGGAAGAAGTCAAACTCAAACTCAAATCAAAGAATGATTTGATTGATTGATATTTGAGATATAATACCAATTATTGGCTAAAATTGTTTTATTGAAAATGTTTTACTAATTTGCACTTAGTTTAAAGAAGGAAGTTTGGAGCCATGACTTGTGAGTCTTTCTTAGGGTTGAGACTCCAGTAAATCATTGTGGGGGGTATAAAAAGTTGAAGTTGTGATTCTTGAATTGCTTCGTAGCCATTGTGGAATTTGATTGTTTTGACTTTGTGGTCAATGCGTTTGGTTTTTTCTTTTTTATCCATCTTTTTCACTAGTTTGTGCATAAAAAAAGTTTTTTTTTCTAACAATCTCACAAGTGCAATGTGAATTAGGTACACAACAACCCATAATTAAAGAATGAGCTAAACGAATGAAATAGCTATGTACTTTTGTTCATTGTTTATTTTAGCATCTCACAAGTTTTTTTTTCTTATAAAGGCATTGTATTTTGAAAAATTTACCCAACTATAATAGTTAAAATTGCTCTGTATTTAGATGACATTGTTATAATTTGGTATATTTTTCAAAATACATTGTTGTAATAAAAAAAAGATGAAAACAGAATGTTATAATCAACAAATAAATGAAATTGTATTTGCTATTTTTTGTAGTTAACCTTTCAAGAATTACACATATACGTGTATTTTGAACCTCCCCTAGCTATCCATCATCCGACACACTATCAATTGAACAAAGACCAAAACTTTAGTTTGGATCTTGGTAAAATGCCAAAAACAGGAAACAAAAACATCAAAAGATGATTATTGTAAGGTTTACCTGGGTTCAAATTCTTTAACTTGAGCAATATTGTGCCATGATCATCAAGCCAAGTTTACTCTTAATTAGTATTCCTCTATGATCAGTCCCATCAAATGTTAATCATGGACTTGCTTTTGATACCGTTGATCTTCCCTTGATCTTGGTTTATGAAATCAAACTCCTTTTGCTGATTTTGATTTTGTTACTTGATCTGTAATCTGTTGTTGCTTTCTTGTTCTGGTTTTCTTTTGTTGGAGTCTGATGATGATGCATAGCTGGAGCAGACTCGAGAATTGCATCGATTATTTGTGGATGCTTCCAGGGTACATGTAATTAAGCTTAGAGTACAACTCCATCTCCTTCCTATGAAGAAATTTGATCATGAAAAATGGAGGTTCTGAAGTCTGATCATATGTTATAATAGTGAACAATAAGTCCAAAATTGGTATGAGATCTTTGGTAGGGGGCACAATGCACTCATGTTTTGTCCCACCAAGATATGCTTTTGCTTTTTTGGTACATAAGTGGCTAGGGGAGTAATAAAAGGTTTAAGCATCCAACCTGGAACCAACACTTGGAGGCATGTTTATGGGTTTTCGGTTGTCTTTTTTTGATCACTTTTTAAGCTTGAAACATGTAGGATTCGAATATAAGTCAACTCAATTTTAAAGAGTTTCATACTAGTTGATTGTCATTAGGCCATATTGATTATGGTTGGGTTTTTCTGATGCTTATTAACAAAAAGGTGAATTTATGATTTCATGCTTTTGTTTAATTTTAATCAACTTAACTCGACAAATGAATAGTTTGAATTGAAGGGCAAAAAACAACATTTGAATTGAAATAAAGTAACTATCTGTCATTTACAGATAATCTTGGAGATCATAGATATGACAAACATGTCGTGTTGAGTTGAAATATTAAAGATGTCGAAAGAGTTTGACCCTATCCGAATTGTTTAATTATCATGACATGTTGTTCAATCCGTTTTCATGTTGAGTTTGTGTCAGTTTAGTGGGTTAGAATTTAGATGTTGTAAATGTGTTGTTTCTTATCAAGTTGTAACATGTAACATGTTGAAAAGGTAGTAGTTGAGACAAAATGAAAAAAATAGTAAGAAAGAATAGGAGTGGAGATGCGGAATGAAGAAGAAAAAGTGGTTGTAATGTAAATGATAGTATTCTAAAATAATTACAAATGATATCAAAAATAAACTTAAGTTAAAATTTATGAAATAATAAGTTTTGCGTTTATTTATAGTTTCCTTATTAATTTTACTAGTAGGCTACTGTCTCAATAATTTTTCTATTTATCACACTCGAATCGTAATAAAAAAACAACTTTGGGTCTACAAAATGCCACATCATGTAGTATCACTTTTTGTTAAGATAAATTTTGATATTTAGAAGATGTTTGAGATTTCATTTTGATGCTTAAAAGGAATTTTAGACTAAAAAACACTTAGTAGCAAGAAAAAGAGTTTATTATGCACACAAGGACTTATTAACAGTGGTCAAATACCTTTATGGACCATACTTTAGTTTTACATTTTGTCATTTAGTCATTTACAATCCTTATATTATTACGAAATTAATATCTATTCCTATTTATTTATTGTGCACATCGATTATTTTCTTAGTACAAAATATAAAAAGTAAGATGCCCATGTGATACCAAATGTGAAGTACACAGGTTTCAGTGATAATGTTGCACAATCATGTCAACATGTGTCCATATGCCCACTATGACTACAATCTTCACAAATAAGAGAAAAAATAATAAATTAAAAGGGTAACTTTATTTTATATATATTTTACTATTACCTTTTTTTTCATATATATATATATATATATATATATATATATATATATATATATATATATATATATATATATATATATATATATATATATATATATATATATATATGGATGAGATCGGTTGAGAACTCATATTTTTCCGAGAACCCGAGAACTAAAAGTGGAGCGTTGGGTCAAAAGTAATTCATTAAGAATGTCATCTTAAAAATCTCATTTAATGTTTAATTTTTTTGTGTTATTTAATATATTAATATAAATGTCTAAAAATTTACATCATAAATCAGCTTTTCATATACTTTTAAAAATAGTATTTTTTTTTTTTCGTTTTTTTAAGAAAAAATGCAGATTTTTTAATTTTTTTTTTATAGAAAACATGAATTTTTGAAATATATATATATATATATTTTAAAACTGCATTTTTTTTCTCAGAAAACAGCAATTTTTTTTAAAAAAAAAAAGACATTCTTTTTTCAAAAAAGCTGCATTTTTTTTTCAAAAAAACTACAATTTTTTTAATGAAAATTGCATTTTTTTTTTAAAAAGCTGGATTTTTTTAAGTAAAAAAACTGCAAATTTTTCAAAAAACTACAATTTTTCAAAAAACTGTAAGTTTTTTAAAATTGTATTTAAAACCTATATTTTAAAAAAAAGTTGTATTTAAAAAAAAACTGCATTTTTTTAAAAATAAATTTTTAGGTGCATATATGCATATATTTTCAAATGCATATATGTATATTTCTTATAAAGTAGATCACAACAAATCCCATTTTTATTAGTTAATCTATAAACATAATAGTACAAATGTTTTATTCGATAAAAAATAAAAAGGGTAAATTACACCGTTGGTCCCTCGTGCACATGCCAAAAAGCGTGTTTAGTCCCTATTTTCAAAAATTAACTTGGTTCGTCCCTCGTATCGTTAAAAGGTGCACGTTACGTCCCTCACAGACGTAAAATGACTATCTTGCCCTTTTCTTTTTCTTTTTCATTTATTTTTTAATTGTTTATAACTTATCTATTATTTTTTTATAATTATTATTTTTAGAAAAGGAAACATCCCTTAAAAAGGAGTTCAAACCCTTTTGGCCATCAACCACCTCGAATTGCAGTCACTTCCGGCTACCATCCACCTCCGACCACCCTTGACCTCCGACCACCATCCACCGCCACCGGTAACCACCGCTTCTCTCTCTCTTTCACACTCACACACACACACACACACACTCTCTCTCTCTCTCTCATCCCATCCTTAAACTCCGACACCTCCCCTCCCCGTTCATTATTGTCATTCACAACCACCAACATCCATCATAATCGACCATCGGGACCATCACCTACCCTACCATATCTACTAATCTTCAATTGATCAGACCTGTAACCCAAAAGAAAAAAAGAAGAAGAAACTTGAAGAGGAATCCATGATTGAGAGATATAGGGTCGAAGGTTGGGGGACATAAAACCATACTCCTATGATCAATTAAGAGGAGGTGCAGGTGAAACCTACACTGTTCATCGCCTTCTCCACCTTACACCTGATATCATCCAACCACCACGCTTACATCGACATCGACTTCAAATGTGGAGCTCGCTATCTCTATATCTCAGTCACGATGGAGGCAGAGATCGGTCTCTATAAATATGTCGAAATGCATAAAGCTTGATGACATTTATCGAAACCCTAGCCGATGCTGATGGCTGGGTACATGTGACGAAGCCCTAGCTAATGGATATCAGAGATCGAAGATTGAATCACAGATGGAGGCATCGACTTTAGACGGTTCAAAAACACTTATGTCGGAAAAGATGGTGGCTGGAGTGTGATGTGTGTAAAACGGCGGTGCATTCCATGAATGTGGTCGGAGGTAAAACGACGGTGGTATCCACTGAAGGTGGCTTAAAGGGCATTACTGTTTTTGAAGAGTTTGGAGAAGAGAGACAGTAAAGGGAATGATTGGGTATGAAGTGGGACCACATATATATTTTTATTTCTTTCTTAATTAATAATGATGATAATAACATAAAATTAATTGTAAAATATAAACATAAAGGGCATTATGGTCATTTCAGATATAGAAAGGACTAATATTGCAACAAAAATGTGTATAAGGGACGAAGCGTGCATGTTTTAGACAAATGGGGGACGATCCGAGTTAATTTTTGAAAATAGGGACTAAACGCGCTTTTCAGTACCTGCACGAGGGACGATTGGTGTAATTTACCCAAATAAAAAATAAAAAATAAAAAATGCTACAAATTTCAAAGTGTTTTCATGTCTTCGTGTCAATATTTCCTTTTTTTTTTTTTTTTTTTTTTTTTTTTTTTTTTCAATTTATCATTTTCACCTCTTCAATATTCACCAGAATTTCTTCTAAATCTACAAGAAAATTAAAAAAAGTGAATAATACAAAAACACTGTGATATCCCCAAAATCACGGCTCGAAAAGACCGATTTTTCATTTATGCTTTTTAAAATAATTTCAGAGTAAATCCTTTTGATTTGAAAGAGTTGCAGAATTTGTTCCCCAAAACAAAACATGATAAAACAATGTTTACCAAAACATTTCATAAAAGAAATGTATTTTCATTATATAATCAAAACTCGGGGTGTCATGTTCCGATACAGACCAATAAGCATAAACGATAACATTACAAGTCATTCAACAAATATATACATATGCAGACTTGTAAACAAAACAACTTGATGGTTCATCCATCATACGCCCTTGCGCCACTTCCTGTAATACAAATAAAACTGAGTGGGTCAGGCTTGGGAGCCTGGTGAGCATATAGGGTTTTCAACCCACAATAAATAAATTATATTTAATTTTACCAACCAATCACTATCCTGATTACCCATTCCCGTTATCCTCACTTTACGTCCCTAAAACAACATCTATCTCAAGGGACCTAATCTAGGATTTTCATCGGGACGGACATTACTGCTAAGGGGTTTTCTCAACAATAGATATCCTAAAGGCAACCATGAGGGGGATAGAGTACACCGGTGAACACATCATTCACAACACCTACAGGTTATGAACCTGCTAGCGTTCCACGAGACTGTCTAGAAGGAGTCTGTGGTTGTTATCCATACTCCGCTGAATAACTAGGTCAATAACAACAACAACATCGAGGCCTCTCATCTGTTTATTACACACCAACTATCTACCCATGTTCTACCCAACATATTAGTAGATAAAAATATATATTTTTATACATAGTTTAAAACCTGTATAGCATTTTCATTCAATACATATTTCACATAACAGATGAGGCATACCCACATAACACGTATTTCATAGAAAACAAATCAGATCTATGAGATTAAAGAGAGTGAATATACATTCACGCACATAACAACAAAATTATACACATAACATGTATTTCGTATAAAATACTTCATAATTATGCGTTAGAAGAAAGTAACTACACACTCACTTGATCAGAAGATGATCGGACAGCACTACGGCTTGCAGAAGTAGTAATCCTCAGCAGATCTGGAAGATCTATACAAAAGTCGAATTTCTCGCGGGCAGAGCTTCGGCTCGGAAACCGCACTTCTCGGGATCTTCGGGATCTCGGGACTTGCTTCGGGACTCGGGGATATTACCGGGGCTTCGGGGTACTTCTGGCATGCAAATCGAGGTAAAACGGGAGAGAGAAG